TTCCTTCTCTTCTTCTTGTCCTTTTCTTTCTTCCGCCTTTTCTTTATTGTCTTCATCTTTTTCTTCTTTCTTTGTATCCACATCTTCTTGTTTATCTTCAAAAGCACTAAGATCTAATTGTTCTTCCTCATCATCAAATGGTTTTTTAAATCTACACTTGAGAACCGGAGCTGTCTCTTCTTTTTTCTCTTCCTTTTCCTCTATCTCTTCTGTCTTTTTCTCACTTTCTTTTTCCTCAAATGCTGAAAGGTCTAACCCTTCTTCCTCCTCATCCTCAAAAGGCTTCTTAAATCTATTCTTAAAAGCTCCGGCCAGGTCTTCTTTCTTTTCATTTTCTTCTTTTTTCTCTTCTCTCTTTTCACTTTCTTCAAAAGCATCTAGATCCAGCCCTTCCTCCTCGTCATCAAATGGTTTTTTTAAGCGATTTTTAAATGCTGAAGCAACATCCTCTTTCTTGTCTTCATCTGGCTTTTTATCCTCTTCCTTCTTCTCTGAATCTTTTTCCTTCACATCACCCTTGACTTCCTCCTCATTCTCCACCTCTGATGTTTTGTTCTCATCCTTCTCCTCAAAAGCGGTGAGATCCAATCCTTCTTCCTCTTCATCATCAAATGGTTTTTTAAACCTATTCTTAAAAGCAGCTGCTGGATTTTCACTCTCTTTTTCTGATTCTTTCGGCTTTTCTTCCTCCTTTTCTTCAAAAGCACTAAGATCTAATCCCTCTTCCTCCTCATCATCAAAAGGCTTCTTAAATCTATTTTTAAAAGCTAGAGCTGGATCTTCCTTTTTAACTTCCTCTTCTTTTTCCTCTTTCTCCTCCAAACCTTCCAGATCTAATCCCTCTTCCTCCTCATCATCATAAGGCTTCTTGAATCTATTTTTAAATGCAGAGGCTGGATCTTCTTTCTTTTCCTCCTCTTTTGTCTCTTCTTTCTCTTCATTTTTAGTTTCTTCCTTTGCCTTATCCTCCCCTTCTTTCTTATCCTCCCCTTCTTTCTTATCCTCTTCTTCTTTCTTATCCTCCCCTTCCTCTTTTTTCTCCCCATCAACCTCAGATTTGTCTTTTTCCTCATCAGTTATTTTATTTTCATCTTCTGACTTCTCTGACTGATTGACAAAATAATTATCAGAGTTAGTGTAACAAATTTGAACGCCTGACCATCTAAACATAGAATACCAATGTAACTTAAACGCCAACTAATGAATTAACCAACAAATATAATTCCAGGAAAATAAAATAAAAGGTAAAAAAATAGGCAAAACAAATTATAACCGGGAACTAAACCCATAACATAATAGCAATCCACATCAATCCCGGACAGAATAAAATTTGACATTCAATAACTCAAATATTTCTAATGTCTAAAAGCAATAGGGTTTGTCATTTATTGGGGGAAATCTATTAATAGTGCATCCGAGTTCACAGTCTGGCCAAACTCATTAAGATATTAATAAACATCCCGGTATTCCATTTGGCCAATCTCTAGACAGCTGTTCGGTACCTCTACAATAATGTGACCCTTAACCTAGACGAAAACGTGTTAACAACTTTATCTGGATAAAGATTTTACAAACAAATTGTTACAGCGGAAATACATTGTTAGAAGCTATGTTTTACGTAAACATGGTCTAAAAATAGTAACATTGCATAATGGGAAGTGATGTTTGCCGGTCTTGTAAATGACAAACCCTATTGCACATAGTGTCCTGGTTTGGAAGAACTTCTCATTCAGGGCATTTGATGTCATGTACGTATACATCAAAGAAGACTTCCACACAAAAAAACAATTTTGTTGAATAATTTATCTTTTTTTTTAAATAAATATATCCCTTTCAATAGTTTGGAAAAAAGCCAGCACAAAAATATTTGTTTAAATAAAAATTTTTTAGTAAAATACATGTATGTCTTTCAAGAAAATATTTTTGAATGAGTTATTGTCATTATACATGAGAGTGGGTTAAGTTATTTTTTTGTTTTTTTTACCTTGTTTTTGTGATTAGCTTTTATGTTATGATAATATAGGAAGTGTAGAAATTAAAGAATTCATAATATAGTTTGTCTCACAGATTGCAAATTGTTAATATGAAAATAAAATTTTCTTTCTTTACTTAAAAATTCATGTATTAGTTTGATTTGCTAATAGAAAAATGAAGCATTATGTATAGGGGTCAATCTAATTTTTTTATTATATACCGCATTAAAAAAATGCTCAGTTAAATTTTTTTTTGGGTTTATTTCTAGTAAAACTTGAAATATTTACAAAAATGATCAAAAACTAGTATTAGTTTTAACTGATTAAACATCTACTATTGTAAATACTCCATGAACATTAATATAGTGAGCCTCACCAACTGTCACAATGATAGAGGCTGTTCATCATCAGTGCTTGATAACAAAATAAAGCCAATATTAAAACTCTATGCCTACCTAAAATATTTATTTAAACTGCAAGTGACTTTAAGTAAACATAGAGCTAATTTATTATGTTGGTTTTTTTTAATATAAATAAACCACATATGTATAATTTTAAATTTTTATCACTGTGTAACTTGTGTTTGTTCTTTTTAGGTGAAAGTGAGCGAAGATTTTTAAAATTATTACTAAAATGTTAAATGATAAATTAAAAGATGTTCTTATTTCTCCGGTTGATTATTTCCTTTTAAAATTTCTTGAAACATGAATATTTTCTTTTCTTTATTTCTGCTTCTAAAGAGAGTAATCTGTCTCTCTCAATAATTTAAAATAGCATTTATATATCAGAGAACTGAAAGTTAAAATATAATAGCTGTTGAGAGGACAACAATACAAAGAATTAGTTAATGAGAACAAAAGGTATATAACAAGATAACAATTAACACCATGCTACAGCAAACATTTCTACCTGATCTGTTTTTTCTTTTTCTTCCTCTTCTTCCTAAATTTAATAGGAGAAATTTTATTGTTATGGTGAAAAAAATACTTATTTTAAAAACCTTGCCTTTTAACACACAAAAATTTAAATAATATGTAAAGACATGAGCAGTGTTTCTTTCAGAAACTATCCTTCGGGGGGGGGGGGG